CTCCAATGCCCACTCTGTCTGCCCTCCTGCCATGAGAGCAGATGAAGGGAGCAGCTCAGGGCCACTTAGAGCTGGGAGAGCGAGGGGGGGGCCTGGGAGAGGCGCCTGTGTCCGGGCCAGGCAGAGTTTACCTTCAGGGTCTCCCAGCAGCTTCCTCCCAGGAAGGGGAAGGTCTTCGGGCAGCACACACCTCCCAGCGCCTGCTGCCCGCCCGGGATGCCTGCCCACGCTGGGCCCTGCCCAGGGTCCTGCTTCTCTCCTGGTCGGTGCCCGGAGGGGGCACATCCATAATTCCATCTGAAGAAGAAAGAACCACCCCTCTGGGCCTCGTCTTTTCTGAGCCCACCTGGCCGCAGGGCGGGTCCTGTGATGGGGCCGGACAACCCCGGGGGGTGTGCAGCCTGTGGGGCCCCGGACAGCCCAGCCACAGGACGGCGGGGAGCAATGCCAGGACCAGGGCGTGTGCTTGATGCTCGGCATTTATTTGAAAAGTTGGGGCTGGAGAGCAGAGCAGGGCAGCAGGGCACCGGCCCCTCCCGCTCCGGCCATCAGAGCCTCGGCCCCAGGTCCAGACACGGGCAGGCAGCACCCCCGATGCGGCTCCGGAGGCAGCGGGCTGGGGGGACCGCTGCCCGTGCGGGGTCTGCACAGGGGCCACCCAGGGCCCTCAGTCACCCCCTCCTCTTCCTCCTACCCCTGCAGGTCGGTGCAACCTTCCCAGCGGCCACTCCCTGCCACACGTGCACCTGCCTGTCCGAGGACGCTCAGGGCCCCACCGTGCAGTGTGCAGAGGACATCTGCAACACCACCTGTCCCCTGGTGAGCCTGCCCCGGGCAGACACAGAGCCCTGGCGCCCCCTCCCCCCACCGCAGCACCTTCAAGTCAGTGGTACCTGACCCCAGGGGGGTCCCCCAGCTCAGCCTCTGCCGCTTCCCCAAAGGGAGGGTGCAGAGCAGGAAGATGGTGGGCGACAGGGTGGGCGGGGCTGGGACAGGTTCCAGGCAGGCAGAAGAGGGGAGGGGCCGGAAGCTGGGGTGAAGCTGAGGCAGGACATGGGGCACCCCAACCCTCAGAGCCAGGCCTGGTCAAGCTTCTACCCTCGGGCCATGGTTTCAGAGTGTGGGGGCGGCTGATGGGGCTGCCAGGCCCTTGGGGTGTGGAGGGGCAGGAGGCCTGGGGGTGCAGACGTGACCACCCTCTGGCCCCCAGGGTTTCGAGTATGTGACGGTGGCCGGGCAGTGCTGTGGGGAGTGCGTGCAGAAGGCCTGCCTCACGCCCGACGGCGGGCTGGTCCAGGTAAGCGGGGTCTCAGCCCTCACCCAGCAGCCCCTCCCTCCAGCCTTCGGGGCCGTGAGAAAATCCCGACCCGGCTCTCCCCTCTGTGCGTTTCAGCCCAACGAGACCTGGATCAACAGCCTGGTGGACAACTGCACCGAGTACCACTGCCAGGCCGAGCACGGGGTCCCCGTGCTGATCCTCAGGCCGTCGCCCTGCCCAGACGTGTCCAGCTGCATGGTGTGTGCCCCGGGGGATCTGGCCAGCCTGGTGGCCTCGGGCCTTGCCCTGGCGGCCCTGCCCACACAGCTCCCTGGAGGCCCCACCCACACTGTGCCCTGGAAATCCTGCCCAGGCTGCTTTCTGGAGGCCATGTCCTCCTACAGGCCCTGCCCCTATGTCCTGGCCTCGCCCCCAGCCCTCCCTCTGTCCCCTGTTGCAGGGCATCCTCAGGAAAACCGGCTGCTGCTATGTCTGCGAGGAAGTGGGTAAGTCGGGGCGCCTCTGCCCCTGTCCCTGCCCTCCAGCTCCCTCCGACCTCTGCCCGTGGGCTCCTGCCCTGATCCCTGGGAGGGAGCGGCCGGTCTGAGTCCTCAGGGACCCCCACCTCTGCCTTTCCTCTGCGCAGACTCCTGCCAGGTCCGCCTCAACAGGACGGTGCTGGAGCACCAGGGCTGCCAGGCTCCCGTCAACCTCACCTTCTGCGAGGGCTCCTGCCCAGGAGTGTCCAAGTGAGTGCCCCACAGCCCAGCCGCCTCCGCCCACCGAGGGGAACTCCTACCTGCAAGCAGAGAGCCCGCCCCAGCACACATCACCTCCCAGGCCCCCTGTGGCCCTGGCCTGGGCTTGCCGCCCTGAGCTGGGTCAGGAGGGCCCAGGAGGAAAGGGGGCCCCCCCGAGGAGCCCCTTTCCACATCCGCTGGCACAAGCCTGGGGCCTCCGACCTGCAGAGCCAGGCCTGAGCACACTGGGCAGAGACGGGCGCCGCATCCAGGCGCCTGGCACCGTGTCCACCTGGGGGTGGGCAGACCCAGGGTCCTCCTCGGGCCAGGCTCAGGGCGGAGCTGCGGGTAGAGCCTCGGCCGGAGAGGCGGGGAGCAGGGTCCAGGGCAGGTTCCTGGAGGGGCCTGTGGGGTCAGCAAGTTTGAGGAGCTGTGTCCGAGGGGAAAGGGTGCCTGGCAGGAAGGTAGGGGGTCAAGGTGACCCTGAATGCCCACAGAGCCATCCCCGGCGCGTCCTCAGACAGGCACTGGGTTGGGGGGCGAGGGCGCCGTCTCAGGGCCGTGTGCCCGCAGGTACTCCCCGGAGGCCCAGGCCATGCAGCGCCGCTGCTCCTGCTGCCAGGAGATCAGGGCCCACGAGGAGGTGGTGACCCTGCAGTGCCCCGACGGGACGGCCGTCCGGCACACCTACACCCACATCGACGAGTGCAGGTGCGACCTGGCCTGC